ACTGGCGGCGGGACTCTCCGGTGCGGCGGCTCCTCCGGCTCGAGTCACAATTTGGTGTTTTGCTCCGGTTAACCTGTAGAGTAAGGAACGGTGGTCACAATGGTGTAAAAATTACGTTGAACGGAAATTGGGAAGGGCCTCATCGGAGGCAAAAATCGAAAAAATTCGCGGCGGCGCCGCTGGGCTTCGGCGGTGTTTTCCGGCTAATTGGCCAGTGTTTTGGCTCCGATTTGGCCACAAGTTGGTTTAGAATCAAATTCTAAGCTAAGGGGAGAATTTTTACCTTGTTTGGCGGCCGAAAAGTGCTCTGGTGCTGCGGCGGGTGGCGGCGGTCGACTCCCCGGCGGCTGGGCTATCTTCTCTGGCGAGGGCTCTGGCGGCTAGGGTTAGGGTTTGGGTGTGGATGAGATTATTTATAATCTTCCATTTTTAATCTGAACCGTCCATCGCGATTTAATCTGGACCGTTCGATCGCGATTAAATATGAAATGAATCTGAACCGTTCATCGCGATGCAATCTGAGCCGTTCGTGCGCGATTCAATCTGGGTCGTCTGTGCACGTGCAATCTGGGCCGTCCGTACGCATTTTTGATCTGGGTCGTTCGTGCGCGTGCAATCTGGGCCGTTAGTGTACGCGGGAACGGATCTCAGTCGTTCAATCGCGCGCACGCGGATCGCCCACGTGGCTCCCTTTTGTATGGCCTCCCGCGTCAGTATCTCTGTCACGCGGCGTGTTCTGATTGGTCGGGGTATGATATTTATACGTGGGAAAATTTTTAGAATGTGATAAATATAACAATAGATTTGTAAATATTTTGTAATGGGTGGTACCCACTTGTTGTCATTTCAATATATTTGAGTACTTTTTATTCTTTTAAAAAAATTGAGTTCTTAATAAAACTACTTTGGTTGGTCCTTCAAATTGTTCCAACTTTAAAAAAATGTGGCTTCACTCTTTTATTGATTTGAAAGTAAATATGTTCTTTTGGAAAGGTTGTTATTTCTTATTTTAAAGTTACTATTTTTGTTTTTTTTTTTTTATAAAAATGTCTTAATTTATTAAATTTAAAGTGAAAATAATTTGATTTAGTATTTCAAAATAAATGTGCATAGATATTTACAGAAAAAAATTTAATTTTTTCAGAGAAAGTAGAATTTTTCCTGTTTATCGGATAATTGGAGCTAAAAAAATATATAAAATTTTATATATTTACTTATTTATTATAATTTATTTCGTTGATTTTTATAGAAATAATAATGAGACTTAGTAATGAAGCTTTTATTACTATCTTTAATTAATATCTATAAGTGATTAAGGGTTATAAATTCATGAAGTAAAAAAGGTGTTCTTTTAACTTTTATTCTCTTTATACAAAATAACTATTCTTAAAAAAATACTTATGAATCTAAAAATTGATAAAATAATTAAAAATTTATTAATTTATAATGTAAGAATATTAAATGTAAGATCTATATAAGTTTATTTTAAATAGTTACTTAGTTTTTATGATTTAATAAAATGTGACATAGACAGATGTTGAGGTTTTATATGGATCTTGTATGATTTTGCTAGTCTATTCTCTTTTTTATTAAATAAAAACTCTTACTATTAAAAGAAAATTAATTTATCATTCTATTCTTTATTGTATTTTTTATATTAAAATTATCTGTCAGTTTACTTTTGATTATTAGGTTCAATTGTATTATTTGGATAGTAAAAAAACAATTAATCTACACAATTGAAGCAGAAGATTGTGCTAACAGAGTTCGCATGGTTGTCTTTTCTTCTTTAGAGATATTTGTGTTCCTCATCCCAAATCTTTTTTATTATTGTTTAGTAACATATTGTTTGAATTTCAAAGAGTGTTTATCACTCACCATCTTATAATTCTTAAATTCCCTTGGGTTACCAATATTAAATTTTTTGTCACTTAGCTTGTGCAAATGTTCCTTATGGTATATGTTATTTTAAGCACTTAGAAGAAAAAGTATGTGTTAAAAATTTAAAAAAATTAATTCAATTTTTTAATCTATAATTGTAAAATCCAGAATTCATTTATCAAAACATACTGGTATTTATATATTATATAATCATAAATATTATAAAAATGTAAATTTCTTTTTTTTAAAAAAGTTATACTTAGTATCACAGACAACCAAAAAAAATAGTTATTTCTAAAATAAATTATGCAAATACATGTTCATATTATAATACAATCCATAATATGCAAATATTTAAAAAATAAATAAATATATCGACAAATGATTATAATTAAAATATTATTAACTAAAACAAAGAGAATTCATACGAAGTCATCAACAAAAACATATATAAGTTTTTACCTACTATTTATGTATAATTTAAATAATTTTCTTACTTAATCCAAACATAAAGATTCGAACAACACCATAAAAGGAAACTATAATTTTTATTTAAGTTACTCGTGCAAGCATGTAACTTTATATTTTTCCTGCAAGTACAAATTATGCAAGAAACACAGAGGAAAGCTGCTATATCTTTACACTCAACAAACCTCGTGGGTGTTCTTTTATTTCTTTGCCCTCCTTTACAACTCAAACACTTAACATTACAGCTTATAGCTGCCAGATTAAAGAAGAAAAAAGCTCTTCATTCTTCTTCATCTTCATCTTCATTATACTGTCTGCGCCCTTGCTGCGATGGGCTAAACAGAGTCATTTCTCGTCTACTTGTCTTCAACCTACGGGCTTGCTCGTTGGAGATTCCATAAGCTACCTTCAAGAGTTGCGCCGGAAGGCTGTTGATGACGGAGTTTCGTCCCGCGAGCATGTGGGTGATGGCATTGCTATTGGTCCTGAAAGACACCCAGTCCGCACCGTTGTTGCCTGCCCTTTTCACCACCGCGAAGTTTTGAGGCACAATCACTATTTGACCCTGTTGAACCCAATCGTTAAAGATGTTCTGTCCGCTAGATCCCACTATTTCAATATGGACATTCCCCCTCGAGATGTAAATTATCCTGTGAGCATTCTGGGTCCATTGAGGTGCTAAAATTGCATTCTGCATTAAACAAATTTTGCCAAATTATCAGATACATATTGATTATTTCTACCCGAAACTTCAATTGTATAATATAAATGATAAAATTTGTTGGTATGTACCGGATAGAGAACTCCTCTGGCAGCACTGAGTCCCATCAAGTTAAGGATGGGGAAGTCAACGTCGTTGACAGTGGAGATATGGCCAGCGCGTGGGTTATAGATATCGGAAACTGCTGGACCGGCAATCCTGTGAGTGAGTCTCAAGGTGCAGATAGTTTCCTCCAGGCCATTATCTCGGCCACCTCGCTGCCCCTGCTGGCGTGGGGCGAGCAAAGCGAGTCCTTCCCGCGCATAGACAATGGCTCCTCTTGTCTCATTTCTGCCGCTCTGTAGCCTCCTTGCTAAGTCTGTACGAATGTTGAACGACTGTTGTAGTATCTGTGTGCTGAACCCATTTAAAATGTTCTCGTAGTTCTCCAGACGTGGACTCCCAGCCAAGAAGAATTTCTGTATGTATAAAAATAATATCTAAGTATCAATATCCATACGTAAAATAAGGTTAAATAGTTAACTGATAAATTACCCTCAAGTTAAAATCGAGCTGATTGGCTCGGTTGCCAATATCGACAAATGCGACCACAATAAGATTTGATCGGCCATTGTTGTAAATCCAGTGGGTTGTGCCAGTGGGAAATGCAAGGAGTTCTCCTTGGTTAACTTGTTCAACTTTCTGGTGTCGGTCTCTCTGCTGCTGTCTTTGGAACTGTGATTGCCTTGAAGTTTCAAAGGTCTCTGGGCAACCGGACAAGACTGTTCCTTTAATACCCCTACCTGCATTAATTGGTTACCATACATTAATCCAACAAGTATGTATCTATCTACTTACATATACATGTATACATATATATATATATATATGTATGCACAGACGGAGAATGTATAATATATGCATGCCTTGTGTTACGAAGGCAAGCGCGGGAGCATTAAGGAAGCCAGGCAAGAGGAGGCCTCGGCGTCGGATAACATGGCGAATGACGGCAACGCCAGCACAGCGGAATTGCTGAGAAGCTTTTGGCTGCCAGATGTCGGTGGTGCCGGCCTCTGATTCGATGCGCAGGCTGGGGGGAAGAGCTTGAATTTTTTGGAATTGGCAAGGACTAGAGATTCTTTGAGGAGACCTCTGCGGGTGGGATGGCCATATCCATTCTGGTATGATGCTAAAATCAGATGTTACCTCTTGTGCCAAACAGCCATGGAAGAGGGCGAGAAGGCAGAGACCGAGAGAGGGAAAAGAAGCCATATATATATATATATATATATATATATATATATGTAGGGAATGAAAGTGGAAATGGGTGGTGAAGAAAGGATGGTGGTGGTGTGGTATTTAAAGGAGGATAAAGGGGTTTGGGATTTTGAGAGGTGGCGAGACGTAGGTTGAAGTGTTTGGGGTTATATGCATGCGAGATGTCTTCATATGTTGGCTTGGCTGCAGATACTTCCTTTTTAAACACGAAGCAAACAGGTGTTAGCTTACGTGGTGGTGATATGATTGTTTGCGTTTTTCTCTTTTTCTTTTCTGTAATATGTAGAAAGTGATCTTCCCCTTTCAAAGCTTCCATTAGTTTTTGATATGATTATACATATGTAAATATATATTACTTAATGTAACTGTAGTAAAATGTTTTAATTTATTATTACATAACAAATTACCGATACACTAATCACTTAACAAGCTTTTCTTAAATTTTGGAATCATTTTAATAGCACCGTATATTGTGATGTTTACTAAGATGAAAAGAAGTTATACTTACATCCATATACAATAATCAAGAAAAATCATTTTTCCCCAAAATTCAAGAACATAAAATTTTATCACATTTAAGTTAAATGATCTTGGGATTTTAAATATTTTTGTTTATTCTAAATTTTTATTGAAAAATTCTAATACTAAAATTTTTAGTTGTTAATTTATTTATATCATGAAGCAGATTAGTATTTTTCTTTTTCATTGTTCTAATAATTTGGGAGACCACATTATAACAATTAACAAAACAGAAATCAAAGTCAACTCAGAGTTTTCCTTTGATTAATATGAAATTATATTTCGTCTTCCTTTCCCGAAAAAATAAAAATGATTTTTTACACGTATCTCCAAAACAAAACAAAAATAAACAACTCGTAGACACAAAAACAGAGATGAGTTTTCTCCTTTGAATTATCATAAATAAGAGCATCTCCGACCCCATAAATGTGAAGGTGACTGCAACAAGCACGACGATTTCAGAAGACTATATATATATATATATATATATATATAGAGAGAGAGAGAGAGAGAGAGAGAGAGAGAGAATAAAAATAACTAAGATGATCGCATCATGAAACAGAAGATTTCGTTTGATTGCGACAATACTGGAAGCTACTCCCTTCCATTTTCTCCACCACAAAATGTGCAAGCATGTAGTTTGCCTCCACTAAATTTTCTCTGCACAAGAACTCGTCACCAATCTCCACATCTGCATAATAATCATGCACGAACACATGCGTTTTTGGGTTCCCACCCTTCTTGCTTCTCGCCAAAACGCCGGCAGTGAAGATCGGCGACATCCTCCCGGGCCCTTCCTTCCCATCTCCTCTCGGCCCATCAACCAGAATCACATCCCAATCCACTTCATAGACATGGTTAGGTAGATCGTTGAGCCCGAGCTTGCATTCCGAGAAGAGCAGGTTCTGTACCGGGCGACATTCATTGCGTATCTGGGCCTTCGCCGACGCTATCAGCTCCTGCTTTTCACTCAATTTAGTCGTGTATTGCACGTCGAAGACATCTACTTCTGGGTGCAGCTCTTCGAAATAGGCCGCGTAGTAGCGATTCTCCTCGATGAAAACAGTGCGGCCATTGTGATTCAGTGCTTTCCAGAGAAGGGTCTCGTGAGTTAATCCGAATACGAGAAAATTACAGGGGGATGAGCATTTGCGGAGGACGTCGGAGATGGGTTTGAGCTCGGCGTATGGCATGTGGAAACTGTCGTTGGATCTGGAAGCGTAATGGAGGAGAGTGTTGATGACTGTTGTCGCCAATGGCGGATTAATTCCCGACGACGTCGTTTCAGCGGCTTTGGTTATTACTGCGGTGGCTGTCGTTTTGATGGGTATGGATTCTCTGTTGTAGAAGAAGGTGAGGAGGAAAGCTACGGTGAAGAAGGAAAGGAAAACGAGAAGCCATAAACGATTTGAACTCCCCTGTTTGTGGATATAAGGACGAAGGAGAATGAGTCTCGTGTTACCGTTGCTGTTCTTCATTTCTGAAAGTGTATAGAGTAATGGGTATGGATCTTGCTCTGCTCTCTTAAAAGATGATTTGGTGCAGGGTACTGTTTAGGTTTAGGCCTGGATTAGTAAAAAACATGACGTTGACATTATAATTAAATAAACCTACTTATAAACGATCTAGAACCCAGATTGTATATATATATATATGTATGTATGACTGTTCATTGTATCTGTTGATTTTCAGAATAAAAAAATCTACCTTTCATTATTTATTATTATATTTGTTATTTTGGTATCTTGTATTGGTTGAAGAATGAAGATGGAGCTAGTGAAGGAAAAAGTAGCTGGTGGAGCGACACAATAACTAATTAAGCCAGAAGTCGCTTTTGCTTTGGTTTATTTCTCAAGTAATGTCTTATGAATAAATGTAAATTTCTCAAAAAGATTTAACTGCACCATTGACAGAGACCACTCACCTGAAACAGACTTCTTGTTTGACACAAATTCATCATTTTGTCAAAACATCTCCTTCTCTTACTCTATAATAATTAAGTTTAGTTTGTATCAAATTGTTCTGTAATCAATAAAACTATAGTTTTCTTATATATATATATATATATTATAGTTGATCAAGGTTTTGCGCACATATAAAGAGACTAAGACGAACATATACTCACTAGTATTTGTATTTGGGTCTTACTTATTTCTTATATGTAGTTTATTTTGAAATAAAACTATATACTCATTGAATTAAATTAATAGAGAAGTAAAAATTATAGTGATATTCTTAATTTTTATTTAGTTAAAAAAATCAATAGTAGTGACAAGTATTTTGTGAAGAAAATTTTATTAGAAAATACCATTTTGCAAATCAATAATAATAATAAAATTGTTAAGTAAAAGTACTTTTAATTATTAAGTATTTGATAAAAATAACTGGAAAAAATAAAATTACCTTAAAAATTAGGAGTTAATTGTTTTGTTAACATTGAAATTACTAAAATACTAAAAATATATATATATATATATATTAAATTAAAACTTGTGTATTTGATAAAGAGAAAAAAGTAAAGAGAACTTACCATCTTATTCCCTTTCCATTTCATTCCATTAGAGCCATTCAATGCTCAATGACACTAAAACTACCCCATTACCATTAAAACCAAATCAATCGACCCATCAGGCCCATTTTGTACCAATTCATGGCCCAAGTATCCAACTGTTTAAGCCCAGCCCAGAAGCTTAAAGGGCTGTCATTTCAAAGTCTTCTTCTAACTCCTTTTTAGCTGTTGATCGATGCACAAAAATGACCCAGGCTTCCCAGGTTCAGCGTTCCACAAAGAGAAGACAGCTAGAGGAGCACAGCAGGAGATAACACACTGAAGCTGGCTTTGGCGTGCAAGGTTGCACACAGAGAAAGCAAGCTTTCGAGAAGAAGGGAAATGTTCAGAACTGGTTGCGTCGTTTGAAGGAGACTACAGGGACAACCTCGCACGGTGTACCGGCTTTTTCAGAGGACAGACGCCTGAGCAAGCTGGAAGGAGGACAAGGCAGAGGTGTGGGTATGAGCAGAAATTGGGTTATAAAAGGAGTAGAGCAATCGATTTCTGGGGGAGGAGCGGGAGAGAGTAGGGTGGCTTTTTTGATGGAGGAGCAGCTAGGGTTTTTAGAGGAGATTTGAAGAGGGTCTTTAACGGTATGTCTTAAGACTTGTTCAGCTCTGTTTTCTTTTTTCGCTTTTCTTTCTTCAAACAGGTAAAGAGATATGATTGTGTTTCAGATGAATTAGTCTCATGCTTTGGATAGTATCTTCAGTATGGATGAATAAATGGGTTGGATATTTCTGACTTCCTTTCTGATTTCATTTCCTAGTTGATGCTGCTCTGGGTATATTATTTCCCTGATTAATGTGAAATGATGTATTGCTTTCTATACTAACTGCTCGAGGGAATGTTACCATTATCAGTTCCAATTTCTGGCACGTCAGATGGTATCTTGGTCTTGCTTGTGTACGGATATTAAGTGTGGCATTATACACTCATCACTCATGAACGTTTGTCAATGAACTCTTATACGCTTGATTTAGTGTTCAGGAAATCTGGCCACTTGTGGGTAGTTTTATACACTGAACGTGGGATTTGTAAGTGGTTAATGTTGCTTGGTTGATTCTATGAATAACAACTGATGACTTTCAGCTTATTGATAAAACACGATAGGATATGAAAAAACATCAGGTCACTGGATGCTGGTTAAAATGATTGAAGAAGGGAGAATCTGTTGGTGTCTTGTCTGTGGCATGAATACTTGGGATCAAGTGCTGGGATGCTTTAGTTGTTTGAAGTAGAAAGTGTAATGCTCACTGTTTGTTCTAGATGTTTTGTAGTCTGCTACCATGAGTTTGCAATTTTTGTTTTCTTGTTTGGAATGAATGCAGTAATTTCTATTTCTAGATAGTTTAATTGTTCTTGTGTGGTTGGATTAGGACTGCAGATTGTTTCCTTTTGTTCCTTGAATTATTATGATTAATTGCCTATAGGTGGATTGCCTTTAAACACATTGACAAGAATGGATCATGAGAGATAAATATGGTTTAAAATCTTAAAACAATGAACATTCTTTTAATTCAATGCATTAACTGTTTCTGAGTTCTTCTGTACATGAGCAGTACCCCCTTGATACCTTTGTGCATAATAATACTTCTTTTATATTTAAAAAAAAAAAAAAAACTCTCTGAGTTCTTCTATGTTACAGTTCAAACTATGCATGGGAGGTGGGTTGGTATTTAAATAGGGTCTATGGTGATCCCTCAAACATAAAATTTGAATGTATTTTTCGGAGAGCCTTGATATTCCCCGGTTTGCAATGGCAGTCATGGTTTTAATCTTGACCATGATGTAACTTACAGACCATGAGTTCTATCCCACTATATATTTTGTTAAAACTTCGATTGAATGATTAAATCTAGTAAACACAGATGATTTGGAAATTGATGTCTCTGTATGAGTAAATTTTGTGCGAAGATTATTATTTATAACTTGTAAAATTGATGTCTTTGTGTGTTTTTTCAGATTTAGTCGAACATCCTACACTTACATAATCCTTTCATTTTGTTTCTCTGCCCAGGGCTCCCTACTTATAAATTCCCACAACACAGTTAAGTCGATTTTACAGGCTGTAAACAGAGTCGAAAGGACAGAGAAAAGTAATGACTACGCGAATAGCTCCTGGAGTTGGAGCTAATTTGCTTGGGCAACACTCTGCCGAGAGGAACCAAGATGCCACTGCTTATGTCGGCAATCTCGATCCTCAGGTTCCTTTACTTCCCTCATATTCTTTGTGTCTTATTAGGTGTTCTTTTATTGGAAGGGGACATTGTTTATTCTCTCTAATTACTTGCAGAAAATAGGAGCTTCCTTGGTTTAGGTTAGTTTTTAGGTGTGGACTTTTACGCCTTTGACTTTATATAGCATGTCAGTATGTCTCCTTGCTCAAAAAAGTGAATCAAAATTCTTTTCCTTTCTACCTTAAAAGCTTCCAGAAAATGGATTTTTCTTAATCCTGGGTGAAAAATGCGGGTGAACAGTTCACTGTGAGAACAGTTTTGGGTGGCCCTTGATTTCATCAAAGTTCTAAAGTTCAAACAAAATTGGTCCTGTTCTAGATCTTAACTTATTTGTGGTGATTATTTCAATGCATTGAGTAGAGCTACTCTCGTGCTTTAGTTCAAATATTTTGTTTCTTATGCTTGCAGGTGTCGGAGGAGCTGCTTTGGGAGCTATTTGTTCAAGCAGGCCCTGTTGGTAAGTTAGTGTGGTATTCTTGTTTTGACTTCTTTCTTTACATAATGAAATGATCTCACTGTTGGTTAGAAGTAAGGAAAAACACAAAATCAACTTCCATTTTACTTTTTCAACTAGTCTTTATCTGGAGAGTTTCACATTAAGCAACTATCTTATGGTGGACTCTTATTCAAGGAATGGTTTTGCTACCAAATTTGTTCCCTATAGTTTAGTTGCTTTCTATTCAATATCATTTCTTAGTTTATGTTTTCTTTCAGTGTTCCACTTGTTTTACAGATTGATGAATCAGAATTGATTCTTTCTGTTAAATACAGTGTTGCCAGATGTTAAGAATGACTACTTCTAACCAGTTCCTTCTCTGTGTTTTCTTGTTTCAGTTAATGTATATGTTCCTAAAGATAGAGTAACAAATCTTCATCAAGGATATGGCTTTGTTGAATTCAGGAGTGAAGAGGATGCTGACTATGTAAGTTTTACTCATTAGCTGTAGCACTGCTGTTAAAATCCTTTCCCCCTTCCCGTGAAATCAGCTTGTGGTTGTGCCATATCAGTCACTTTCTTCTTTTAATTTATTTCATGAAAATAGAATTATTTCCTTAATTATGCAGGCAATTAAGGTGCTGAATATGATTAAGCTTTATGGGAAGCCTATTCGTGTAAATAAGGTATGGAGTTTCCTTCTTTTGCATGATTGTGTTATGTATTGCAGAGAAAATTTAGTTGGATTGCAAGGTTAAGAAAATCGCACAGCTTTCTCTCAACGATTCTTGTCTCACCTGTATTTATCTCAAAAAAATTCTCGTCTCACCTGTATGAGTTGAATAAATCCAAACCTGATGGGTTGTTATGGTTTCTGTTCATTACTTTCAGGCATCCCAAGATAAAAAGAGCTTGGATGTAGGGGCAAATCTTTTCATTGGAAACCTTGATCCTGTAAGAATTCTTGGTTTGTTAAAGATTTATACTTTCAAATACTATACTATCTGGTATTTTGTAATTAACCTGGACATATTCTGCAGGATGTCGATGAGAAACTTCTTTATGATACTTTCAGTGCCTTTGGGGTCATTGTTACAAACCCAAAGGTAAGGCTGTTGATTTCCGTTTTTTAGCATCCAACTTACTTTTTGTTATGCTGCAAGATATAAGAAACTGTTTTTTTTTTTTTTTTTGTATTTTGAATTTTCTTTAATGTCTGCACTTAGATTTATGGTAATGGGAAGATTATAACTTGGGGATGATGCAGTTTCCTGACCAGTTATCTTCAACCAACTTGAATTCTTATTCTTGGATTATACTGTTTCAATAACGCGGGATATACAATTTTTGTATCTTTGGAATTTTAGTAATGTACATGATGCTTGTGAGTGATTAGTGCTTTATATTCATATAGCATGCAGATTCAGGTGCTTTATGTGTGAATTCAATTAGGGGAAAACTGAACAACCCCGCTTTTGGTGGATCTGCACTTTTCTTGCTTGCTTGGTTAAACAAAGAGTTATTTTTCTCTAGAATATATCGTTGGCTGATCTTGTTTATGTATTCTCAAACATTACATTATAGCATTAAATTTCTTGTTATGTACATTTATTTTCGACCGATTACAAAACTTGTGAACTTTTTTCCTGGGATCTGATGTCTGGCATTTTTTCTTTTTAGATAATGAGAGATCCTGATACAGGGAATTCCCGTGGTTTTGGTTTCATCAGCTATGATTCTTTTGAGGCTTCTGATGCTGCCATTGAGGTGTGTCTTATGCCTATATTTTCACATCACTGCTAATGCTGAGTTTATAAGTAGTTTCCCTAGGTCTAGGCTGTAGCTGATAGGAGATTGAGGTCTGTGTAGGATTTTAATCATCATCATTTTTTGATGATTACTGGAGATTATTTAATTTTGAAGTTCTCGAAGTGTTTGGACAAGCTTATTCTATATTACTTTAGGTGCTAGTTCTGTTAATTTATTGTAGTGCTAAATATTAGACACCAAGCAAACATTTTAACATGGTTTTCTCTAAATTAATTGACAAATCTTATTTGTTACTGTAGGCAATGAACGGCCAGTACCTCTGTAACCGTCAGATAACAGTTTCATATGCATATAAGAAAGACACTAAAGGGGAGCGCCATGGTACCCCAGCAGGTGATGCTTTTTATTCATTTGCAGATTGCTTCTGCTTTCTTCTAGTTTACCTTGATCCCAATTTGGGATTAGTTTTGATACTAATGCCACCATGTTGACACAAAACTTTTCTAACTCTGTACTTGTGTTTATCAGAGGGATTTGAATTGAGTTTGCAAAATTTATTTATCTCTTACCTTCTCTAATGCAGAGAGAGTTCTGGCTGCAAGCAATCCAAGTTCCCAGAAAAGCAGGCCCCATACGCTGTTTGCTAGTGGACCGCCAACACTTCCAAATGCTCCTCGGGCTAATGTTACACCAGTGGCTCCACGTCCTTTTGCAAATGGTACTGTTGCTCCAGGCCCAATTCCAGCGATCCGTCCACCTCCTCCTCAAGGTGCACCCTTCCCACCTATGCAGGTGGGTGGACAAGCAGCTTGGCTAGGTCAGCCGCCACAACCAGGTCAAACAATCCCACCACCTATGATGGCTCCACCACCTATGCAGTTCAGGCCTGCTCCGCCAAACATGCCCCCTCCCCCACCTCCACAGGTTGGTACCATTCTTCAAAGGCTTCCACCACAACCAATGGGAATGGGAGGACAACCACCAGTTTGGCCACCACCACCCCCACAGCAGATGGCTGGGAGGCCTCTTATGCCACAGATGTCAATGCCACCACCTCCGATGCACAATATTCCTCCGCCACCACCTTCTGGTTGAAGTTTTGACCATTTGTCTAAAACCTTGAGTTAGTCTTTGGAGTCCTTTTTGTTTCATTTTGGGCTTGTTCTAGAACACTTGTTTTCTGACTGTATGATTTTGGGGATATTACGCAATATGCAAGCATGAGGAATATATGAAATCTGACAGTGAGGACTAGATCTAAGTCGATGGTAATCCTTGGCATAGAGAGTCAGCTCTCCACCACCATTGGAGACCCATATTCGATCCAGATTTTTGCTGTGGTCCCTCAACTTTATTGTTTCAATTATAGTACATGACTAATTTCTTGGGAGTGAGATTAGCAAGATGATAGAAATTGTTTCATGGTGGAGAAGTCCTACACTAGCATAAAAATAGGATTATGGTGAGGATTCTTGATTATGCAGACCATGACGAGAATAATTTCACTACTGGTAACTTTGTAATGTTGCGAAGATTAGCATAGTAATCTTTCCAATTTCTACTTTTTATTAATATTAAGTAAATTTAAAAATACTTTTTAAAACACAAAAATACTAATAGGTCAAAGACATCTAACTTTTATAGCCAATAAAACCAGCCGAAGGCCACTACTAACTTTTAGGAAGTTAATTAATTTTTTCTTTTTACTTAAAACTGTAAATTTGGGATGAACCCAAGAACAGTAACATATTATAAAACAGAGTAATATTATTGATGAGGTCTCTTTTCAACTATAAACATGAGTCACATT